CCCCCCCCCCATGTAGAAGAGGAACTGGGCTCCAGTGACCCTCACAGTGTCTCAGAGAGGATTTCTTCCCACTAAGTTCAGCATTGAACCTAAACCTCATCCTGCTGTGGTCACACTCTCCCTCCATCACCAGTGTTTTTARAGGTCTAACCAAAGTTTAGTCTATGTATTTGTAATAGGAACATCTTGATGAAGATGTTTTATTCAAAATACTGATTTGAGAAAAATAAGGATCATCCAGTACTGAGTCTTAATCTGATATTTGCATTATTTTACCTGCAGCATAGGTTTTTTTAAGACCACAAGTTAAAACGATAAATTTGACCTTGACACCTACTGTAAGTATCTCTAGCCTGGACCTTGCCTTCCTACGCAGCTCCGCTCAATTCTAGTTTCGCTTCCCTGCTCCGTCTGGGATTTCTTCCATAGACAAGGATTTCGCTGGCAGATTTTTAGCCGGGCGAATCAGAGAACAGAACGTTGATTTTCTGCTCAGTGTCTGCTTGTAGTTTATTTTACCTGGGCCAATCAGTAAACAGAAGGCGGAGTTTTGAACATCGTTGATTTTCTGCCGTGTCTGCTAGTTAGTTAGCAATGGCAGTGGAGGAAGTGAATGAAGCCAGTACGTGTTGATAAGGCTTCCAAATTAAATTAAATTTGTCTGACAAAGCAGCAGCTCTCATTTACAGTCGTCTCGTTCGGCTCGGTACTTCTCTCCTCTCAGTAGGGTTGTTTACAGCGCACGCAATTTCCGGTTAGCTTCTTAGCTTAGCCTCCTTCACAGCGACATATACATACACACACGCTCTTCAGCAGAGGCCACGCCTCCAGCAAGAATCGCTTCTCTATAGCAGCGAGTCCAGACCCTTGTACGAAGCAAAGTGAAGGACAAGGGTCTGGATTTTACCAGGCTAAAGTATCTCTATAATGTAGTAAAGAAAACTTGTCTTTGCTTATAACTTGTCAGAAACTCATGGGCCAGTAGTCTGTTGCTCACTACTGTCTGGCAGCCCACTGCTGTTGGGCAGCTTGGTGCTCTCTATCTGATACTGTCTGGTGACCCACTTCTTGCTGCTGTTCCATGGCCCACTTCTAGCTGTTGGCTTGCTGCTTGGTACAGTCCAGCGACTTGCTGCTGTTGGATGGCCTGTCATCTGCGCTACTTTTGCATTCTAAAACGTTTCCATACAACAAACATGCAGGCGCATTACATCTCAAAGGCTGCTACTGCCATACAGTAGAGCAGCCGTATGGCAGCACAGCCAATGTAAAACCATGGAATGTAGGTCTACAACAGAGATCGGGAACAGAGCCTTACTGACCACTGAAAAACAACTTGATTGATTGCGCAATCTGATATTTGCGAATGGATCAAGACATCCCCAGTTTGTGAACAGAAGAGTGCTTCGCAGTAGCTACTGGTTCGTGTAATGGGATACGGCAGCCATGAAGCTCTTTAATTACATCACCACTTGACCCAAAGCTCCTGCTGTGAAACATCCAGCTGTGCAGGAGGATTGTTTGTGACAAACGGGAGGTTTATACCAAAAAGTGGTTTAGAAAGTTTAATAAACGAACGACAAATCCGTTTTAAAAAATATTGCCTTTCAACTGTACAGACATCCTGCTACAGAGTCACGTTACAGGATTCGTGACGGAGGCTTTCTTGGGCACACAGCTGGGTTAACATCACCATGTCAAAAATCTGGGCTCTTCCTGTCCCGTGGCTGCAGGAACAACATTTAACAGAATAGGCTCACAGGCAGGGGAGGTGTTTGCAGCTCTGGCTCTGGATTTATTGGTTCCCAAAGATGAGTGGCACATGATTGGATCGGTGGCAAGCCAAGAGAGGGA